TATTATTATCAATAAAAGTATTATTATTATTATTATTATTATTATTATCATTATCATCATTATCATCATCGTCATCATTATTATCATAATTTCTATTATCATTGTTATTATTATTATTATTATTATTATTATTATTATTATCATTATTATATCTATCATTACTATTTTTATCACTATTATCATTATTATCATTACTATTATCACTATTATCATCATCATCATTATTATTAATTCTATCATTCTCTTATTGACATTTTTATCATTATCATCAGTATCATTTCCATCATTACTATCATTATCATCAGTATTCTCAGTGTTAGCTTTGTTGTTGCCTCCTCCCCCCCCCCCTCCCCTGCGGGCGTCGCCATGCACGATGCATGCCAACCCAGCCGCCTTCCCGCCTTGCTACAGCGTGCAACATCGCCCCCCCCCCCCCGGCCCAGCACCCCACCAGCATCCCGGATCCGGAGCCGCGATGCAGTCGCCCTGTGCCTGGCAACAGCCTCGGGGCCTCCGGGCCTCGCGTGCTCCCTCCCGCACGCGAGCACCAGCGCCCGGGCCGTGCGGGAGGCCCTTGCACGCGCACACTCATGCATTCATACATACATATATTGTCTGTGTGCGCCTACGCGTGCGCACTTCCCGGTCGGAAGACCTTCCCTAACGAGCCTGTCTCCCCGCCCCACCAGCGCAACCGCCCGCAGCGCGAGTGCCCGGAGTGCCCGCCCGCCCTCGGCTGCTTCCGCTCCAGGCGATGCGGGGCGCCGCGCTGCTGGGGGCCGCGCCACTGCCAGACGCGTGAGTACAGGCCGCGGACGGAGGAGGATACACAGGGAGATAGACAGACACACAAACAGAAAGATAGATAGACGCAGACGGACAAAGACACAGAAACAGACACACACGCAGACACACACATACAGATAGACACATAGACAGACAGTCAGAAAGAGAGAAAGAGAGAGAGAGAGAGAGAGAGAGAGAGAGAGAGAGAGAGAGAGAGAGAGAGAGAGAGAGAGAGAGAGAGACTATGGAGCTACAGGCGGGAGATAACAGAATATCTAATTTTGGGGCATCATGGAATTTCATTTAGGAGAAAAAAATAGAATCAAAAGTGTCAGTCTGTTTTTTTCAGATCAAAGTGATACTTTCAGAGCTTTATAAAAGTAGTTCATCTTGCCATCTCTCTCTCTCTCTCTACACTCACACACAAATTCCCTCTCCCTCTACTTTTATTGTCTTTCCCTTTCCATTTCCATTGCTCTTTCCCTCCTTACCCATCCCTTCCTCCCTCCTTCCCCCTACCCCTCCCCTTTCCCTCCCTCCCTCTCTCCCTCTTTCCCTCCCCCTCCCTGCCTCCTCCCTCCTTCAATCTCTCTATCTATCCCGCTCCCTCTTTCTCTTCTTCTCCCCCTCCCTCTCCCTCTACTTCTCACTCTCTCCATTCCTCACCCTCTCTCTTCCTTTTCCACTCCCTCTCTCCCTCCTTCCTTCCCTTTCCACTTTCCCCTCCCCTTCCTCTCCCTCTCCCTCTACTTTTCTTTTGCTGTAGCTTTGTCCCATTCTTATATGGGGTCGCTATAATATTTTTTTTATGGCCGGATGCCCTTCCTGACGCCAACCTTCACCTTCCCTTCTCACTTCCCTCTCTCTCCTTCCTCCCTCCCTCCCTACCTCTTTTTCCCTCTCCCTCTCCTTTTCCCTCCCTCTTTCTTCTTTCCTCTTCCTATCTCTCGAACTTCCCTCTCCCTCTCTCTCCCTCCTCCTACCCCTGATCCTCATCCCCCTCCCTCCTCCCCTCCCTCCCACCCTCCCTCCGTACCACGCCTCCTGACCCGCGAAGGAAATCCTGTCTGCGTTGAAATCTCGTTAGGAAGCGTTGAGAGTCGCTCAGCCACCCAAGTGAGCGCCATTAGCCCTAATAGCTTAACGTCAGCTCTCTCTGAGGTTCTGAATGTGTGAGACGCACGGGGGAGAGGCGGGGGCGGGGACGGGGGGAGGGGAGAAGGAGTAAAGGAGGTGGGTGAGTGGAAAGGAGAGAGAGAGAGAGAGAGAGAGAGAGAGAGAGAGAGAGAGAGAGAGAGAGAGAGAGAGAGAGAGAGAGAGAGAGAGAGAGACGGAAGGAGAGAGAGAGAGAGAGAGACGGAAGGAGAGAGAGAGAGAGAGAGAGAGAGAGAGACAGGGACAAAGACAGAGACAGACCGACAGATAGAGAAGGAAAGTGTAAGAAAGAAAGATAATTGAAATATAAGCAGTAACCATCCAGCCTGTATACTGTAGATTACTCCACAACACATCACATAAATTTCATACGTACTTACGTGGCAAGTGTCTTATAAAACATCATATACCTTCAGTGGCCTCTCAGCTAAGCGATTCGAGTTTCTCAATGTCCGAACAGGAGCCAAGAAATCCCTCAGCAGCTCTAGTCGTCCGAAGACAACCCTTTCCCTTCCTGCATCTCCCCGTCTCTCCCTTCCACCCCCAGTGTGCGGAAGCG